ACGTAATCATGTACTGATGGAAAGAATGCATTCTAACAAATCTTTAATCTGTGCAAGAAATAACAGTGCCAAAAAAGATTACTATGTAATCCAAATCCAGTTTGTTCTTGAAAAGCTGTCTGGAATGAAGGAATACAAGGCACAGTTCACTTTTGTATCTGAGGCTAAAATAACTTGTTCTGTTTCACAGAACTGTAGACTGAACTGTAGAATCACAGAACAGCTTTGGTTGGAAGGGACCTCAAAGATCATCAGATTCCAACCCCCTGCCACAGGCAGGGTTGCCAACTACTATATCAAGTACTAGATCACATTGCCCAGGGCCCCATCCAAACCTGGCATTGAACATCTCCAGGGATGGGGCATCCACAGCCTCTGCAGGTAATCTGTTGCAGTGCCTTACCACCCTCTCAGTAGAAAAACTTCCTCCTGACAGCTAATCCAAATCTCACCTCCTTTAGTTTTCCCCCCTTGTCCTCTCACTATCTACCTGCATAAGAAGTTGATTTCCCTCTTGTTTATAATCTTCCTTTAAATCCTGGAAGGCCATAATGACTGCATCCCAGAGCCTTATCTTCTTCAGCCTAAATAAGCCCAGTTCCTTCAGCCTATCTTCCTAGGAGAAATACTCTAGCCCTTTGATCATCTTCATGGCTCTCCTCTGACTGAAATGTCTTAGCTTAATTCAATTCCAAAATCTTTGACATTTATCAGTTTTCAACTGATGATGTGCTTATAATAAAACAAGGAGATAAAGGACGTACATGGATCCCCATCAAAAATATATGCATCATCTCTGTTTCAATCCTTGTGAACACAAAGGGCACATTTGCCATTTGTGTATGCCTGAAACAAAGGCAGTAAGCTATTTTTCCAGTTCTAAAAGTGATTTACTGTATTAGGAGGAAAAGCAAGCAAAGGAAAGCTTTATTAAGTATCTGGATACTGACATCACCAGAACAGTTTTAGGGATTTGTTCCATGTCAGAGGAATAGCTTAGACATTCTGAAGGTGTACAGACTTCTGAAGCTTGGAAACACAAAGCTTGGTGCTACAGCCAGACCCTGCTGAGACATCAAAGATCTTCAAGTTTTTCTCATAAGTGCACTTTGTAGTGTTATGTTTCAGACCATCAGCACCAGAAGGTTTCACATACGGCGCAGTCACGTTGCCCAGGACAGCCAAGCACTCCTTTTACATGGACTTTCTAACCATACTGCTGAGTTTGTCTCCCAGCCGCTTGGATAAGTTGAACTGTTCAGGTAAAGTTCAGGATTTGCCATCTGTTTTGATTATTTTTTTCAAGGAATTGCTTGATAGCAGCTATTAGGAGGTTTTTTCCTGCTAGATGCCAAGGCAAATGTGCATACACAAGGTAATGACACTGTAATAGGTGCTTTCAGTGGCAAGCTGTTCTCTTATTCCTTTCTCTGCTAGAGTTGCTGAGTACAGTTTTTTCAAAGTCAGAACATATCAGCCATGTGAAAATCATGCCAAAATTTATATTTCAGTACCTAACAAGCAGTTCAATAGATTAACTTTAATTTCTTGTTTGGGCTTTTACTAGTATTACTCAAATATCAGTCTCTGTTTCTCTTGGAGCGAACCTTTGAAATGAACATTTATCAGCATGCATTGTTAAAGTCATCATCAAGTACCAAACAAAGCAAAGCCATACTGCATAGTCTCAAGGAGAGAAATCTGGTTATTCCTCATGAAAAATTGTGGAGGAAATTTACAGAAAGAAATCCAGCAAGAATATGTTCCATAAACAAATCTGAAGAAAATAAATCAGAAACAAAAGGACAGGTAATGAAAAGACAGAACAAAGAGCATTTCAGTTCACACTGGCTGTCCTTACTTACAGATGTGAATTTGCAGAGCTGATGTGGATCACTGCTGTAAAATCCCCTTTTGAACTACTGAATACAACATATGGTAGCGTAGGTGCGGTGGAAAGTAGAAATGACACTGTTTGCAAGTCAGATGTAGGATCTCAAGGAGGTATAAATCCAAACAAGATACTTGTGGTTCATTGTTCATGTAGCTTTGCCAGGAGGAATGGAAAATCGTGTTATCTTAAAAATGATGACTTAGAAAGTTCTGTGGCTCCAAAACACCTAGCTGAATCAACACGATGGACCTTTTCTGAAATGCAAGCATTTATTTCTAACAACAGTGAAACATTGATATACTTTTACTTAAATTCTAAATAACCTTGTTCCCTAGTTAACATGACTAGTGAAATCAGAATATGTCCATTCTGTCATATCTCTATCCTAAAGGAAAAGTTACTGGATCAGTACCAGCCATCTAGATTAACAGCTCAGACTTTATCTAGCCACAGCCAAGCTTACTGTCTATAAAATACACAGATAATAATTACAGCAGAATTTGATAAAGATTTGCTGATTAGCAAAGAAGCAGTGAAAAGGTATATTCCCAAATGTGAACAGTATTTAAGAATTCTAAGGCAGAAGAATTTATGTGAACGGCTTCATATAAAAATATCCTCAAGATAAACACTAAAAAGAAAATAAAAAATGTTCAAACCAAATTTGGGATTCAGAAATTCTTTTTTTTTCATTTTGCAATAGCAAGATATTGAATAAAAAAAATCTCTTTCCTGCCTTCCAGCCAATTTGCTGCTGTGCACTGTTTCAGCATGATAAATCAGCATATGCCCAATTTTGAATACCTGAGTTGTTCCTATTTCAGAGAGACTGTTCTCCTGAGATTGTTAAGCAGGAACCAAGTTACTGAACTTGTCCTTTGGGGCTTGCTGAACTACCCACTGGGGTTGCTGGAAATCTAAACCCACGCTTTTTCCCTTTTATTTTTTCCTGTGAGATAAAAAAAAAAAGACCTAGGTAGGCTTTACACACACAGATTCAGGCTCGTGCAAAACATGCTCATGCAGCAGCAGCTTTGTCTGGAGAATAGCTCAACTCAGTGATTGTTCCCATTCCTACCCCAAAATTCTCCTTGGTGCCCAGATGTGCAGTCATGTGGATTCCCAGATGAGGTGAGGCCTATGCACATAGTTCCCATGCAAATACTTACCTGGGTCCAAAACCAGAGAACCTGGCACCACTGGAGGGCTCACCACCCCTGACCATATCTGATCTAAAGAAAAACAAAGGAAAATCCTTTTTCTTTTAAAATTTGGAAGCAGCAAACTTCTTTTTTCTAAGGAAGTTACAGCTGGAAATAGTATGTCTCCTAGCAACCTGAGAGAGGAAGCTCAGTCTATGGGATCCCTGAATACTCTGGGATATGAGTTGGAGTCAAAGCAGTGCTGGAATCAAAGTGATATTGGAATTGAGGTGATGCTGGAGACAAGGAGATAACTGTAGTGCAGTGAAAATCAGTGCACGCCCTGCCTGCATCCCCTCCATGCATGTGCCTTGCAGTGGTGAAAGGGGACTGCTTATGTGTGCTGGAGAGTATTTCTGACCTGAACTTGCTGTTGAATTTTGCTTGTCTGATTTGGCAAAGTAAGGGACCTGCCAGCACTGCCTGCAGAGAGGTGAGTGATGCTGCTCTGGGGTCACGAGGAGCCATGCTGTACTTTCAGGTGCCAAGTTTCACACCACAGCCAAGTATATACATAGCAGAAGTTCAAAAGTACTGGGCACTGCTGGAGATCTTTTCAGTTATTTATTCACAAAATTCTGGAATAATTGAGGTGTGGCTTTGGTGGTTTTTTTTTTAGTGGGGTGGAACTGTGTTGTTTTTTTTTTAAATACGTCAGAGGTATGTTTTATAGTAATAAATCCTCATGGCCCAAGCCACCGCCTTCAAGGGAAGGATTGTTTCTTCTTTCAAAAACTGTCCCTTACCCTTCCGCACTCCTCTGCCAAAAGTAATTCTGGAAGCAAAATCCTAAGTGGCTGCACATGTGATAGCACCTATTTCAGATCCAGCTGGCACCTGACCAAGAGGCCAGGAAGTGTGCAAAGTAGGTTCCCATCTCTAGAGGTATGATTCCCAGGTGTGCATTGGGCTGCAGAGAAAATAGAATCATAGAATGGCTTGAACTGGAAAAGACTCTAAAGATCACTTAGTTCCAACTCCCTTCCAGAGTCAACCACCAGATCAGGCTGCCCAGGGCCCCATCCAATCTGGCCTTGAATGTCTCCAGGGATGGGGCACCCACAGCTTCTCTTGATGACCTGTGTCAGCATCCCACTGCCCTCTGGGATGATGAATGCTGCTGGGACCTGCTGGAGTGGGGCAGGGCCACGTGCCAAGCGAGGTGCCCTGCTGTGGGGAGCCAGCACCAATGGAGGTGGGAGGGAAGGCATCCCAGGGAGCCCAGGGGGACAGACACAGGACAATCCCAAGCAGGGATCTTTGGAGTTGGCCAAAAACGCTCCAGAAAGAGAGAGTACAATGGGTGGAAGAGAGATTTGTTTATAAACCCTCCTACTTCTGTTCCATCTCACCCAGTCACTTTGAGTGGTTCGCTGTTTATGAAGTGTTTATATCCTAATAAGAGCTGTCTGTTTGAGTTTGGAAGCTGTTTGATCTTCCTGGAAGTTACTATAGTGAAAAGTAAATCCTTCTGAAAGTGCTGGCTTATTTTGGGTCACATAACATTCCACTACCCCTAATTTTCAATTAATTTAATCTCAGTGCTAATATTAAAACATTGAATTTTGAGCATGTTTCTGTAGGAAATATTTGTATTCTTTTGCCAGTAGTTTTCATGCTTCTTTTTATAGTATTCAAAAGAACTTTTATTTTTGAGAGTGGAAATTATGTATAGGCTCTGATTGCTCCCAGTTTTTTGTAGTCCTTGATATTTTGAATATTTTGCTAAGAGGTCTGAGGACTACGGAAGAGGAAGATATTGAAGGTTGAAAGTGAGTGTAGTTGGGTTGCTGCTGGATGATGTGAGCTGAGACATCGTTGTGTTAATGCCTAACACTTGCTCCTAGGGGAGAAAAAAAAATGTTCCAGCTGTGTTTCAGGAAAATTTGGGCAACTAAAGAACTTGAAAGTTACCCTCAACCATTTACATAAGGTTGTTAAGAAACATTTCCTAGAGGTTCCTGCTAAAGAGCTTGTTTTCTCAACAGTGTCCAGAATATAAATTGTATCTCTGAAGAGCTGGCTACAGCAAACCTTGACAGGGTTTGCTTAGACAAACCTGGAGTGAATTGGAAGATGCTCATAGAGGTAAGCATCCTGCTGTGCCTGTAACTAATGCAGCTCAGCTGCAGCAGGGTGGAAGGGGCAGGGCACTATTTGCTGCATTTGGGTGCTGTAAAAAAAACAACGATGGTCAGTTGTCAAGCTTCACACCAAGAATCCTTAATGCAGAATATGAAAGGAACACTTGTGTGACCAACATTAAACAGTGCAAGAAAGCACCCAAACTAAAGGAAGAGCTAATGATCTATTTTGACCTGATCCGGCTCAACTGCTCCTGCAAAAGCTTCCTGGCTTAAAAAATAACAGTTAAGAAGAGAGAGAAATACCTTTTCTGGAATCAGCTAGAATGGAGAAGTGTTTTTCATTTCCATCTGAAGGAATATCCAGCAAGATACCAAAGGCTCCCCAAGGATGGGAAGGCTTGTAAGCAACCTGTTGTTTCTCTTTGTTTCCTACACCTGTTGTCATCTATTTTTCAGTGTTTCCTCTCCCACCTGGAAAAGCTTGAGAGAGGCTACATAGATTTATTAGTCTTTCTCTCTGCAATCTGGTAGATTGCTGTTACCTGTCACAGCCTGCTGTGAAGAGCTGCAGCATTATGGGTCCTCTTGTCCTGGGGTATCAGGAGTCCTAATGAGACCACTTTCCTTTTCTCTCTGAGTTACCATTGTGAAATGTTTTTTTCACTGAGATTAAGCAATATTTTCTTATATCCTTTAATTTTCTTTTGCTTTCTGTAGATATTAGGGGCATTTTAAGACATAGTAAAAATCCCTGCTGACTTTGGAAAAACAAAGCACAGGTTGTGTGAGAATTACTGAGAATCACATTTATGAAAATATTGAGCTATATTGAATGTAGCTGTGATTCTTAAGCTGTATCTGCTTTTTCTGGTAAAAAGTCATCCTTTCAAACTCCTACTCTTACATTCCTGCATTGCTCTTCATGCTGCCAAGTGCAATAACCTAATGAATTCTACAAAATTCATTATCATGCTAGGAGGAATGCAGCAAAAACATCTGCATGAAAGAGGTGCAGTACAGTAATGATGACTAGCTTATGCAGATGGGACCAAATTCATTTTTGATTTCATGGAAGATAATTGAATGTAGAATTACACCAGGATAATTCAGGTGCGCATCATTTCCAAAAATTCCCTTTAAGGGAATGTCTTTCAGGAAAAGCAAATTTACAGCACGTGCCATTTAGAGCCGAGGAGAAGTTAATAGCATGTAACAGAGAGATATTAAATGGATAGATTGGTAGCAGGTAACAACTGCACGCTAAAATATTTTCTCTATTTTATCAAATTAAAGCAACCAACAATCACAACGGTTTTGTCCCTAGAGGACTTCTGATAAGATTCTCTCCAACTGACGAGATATGTGAAAAGCCTGAAGCGATGTGACCCAGAGCCTGAAACACCTGTTAGGGACAAACCTTTCTGTCTCTAGTTTTTATTTAGAGATTGAATGGCAGGCAGTGAATTGCCAAAAGAACTCCCAGCTCATCCACCAAGCACTGTTTCTTCAGAGTTAGCAGATGATTTGTCTTGTGAGCCCTGTGCTGCCATATAAAAGACAAGAAAAAGAGTGAAAATCAGGATGTAGATGGATACGGGGGAAAAAAGAAAAAGCAGAGTCAAGAGGGTGGGGAACAGTGTAAACCTTCAGAGGACAAGAATACCTTGTTCTGTAGTAGAAATCTCAAAAATCCAGAAGGAGTTGGGGGGGTTCCCATGTCCAGTCACAGATAGGCTTACATAACATGGGAGCTCTGTGCTGGCTTAAGATCCAGCCAAGTCCCTGCCTCAATTGAGGGGGGACTCGCTGTGCAATGTAACAGGGACATGTTTCTGAACCAGCCAGAATTATCCTTAAATCACCCATCCAAATAACGAAGGATTTTAATCCTTGATAGAAACTCCCTGCAGATAGTCATATGCCACTTACTTGCAGTGAAGTTTGGACCAGATGAGATCCAGGGGCCCCTTCCAAATTCTACCATGCTGTGATTCTATTCTTGAGACTCACGAAGATCAGAATTACTTTGGAATAGTAGTAACTAGAAGTATGTAAAAGTGACTACAGGAAAAGTGTGCCAGACATGTATCTGCAATTTCATTAGGCTATCATAGCCTATCATCTATTGTAACTCATTCTGTAGAAGTGCTGTCAAGCTGCAGTACCATTCTGTGTAAATGCAAAATTTTTTCCTCTTTGAAATATTTTTTGACAGCTGTAATACTAGTACTGCTGAGTATAATACCTTAGTTTGTCATACAGTGTACTTTTTGCTTATTAAATTCTTTCTCTTCAATATATTAAAACCGTGGTCAGAAGCACATCCTATTGTATTATTACTGAAAGTACCTGTAAGATTCATTTCATAATTGTTTTCAATTATGAGATTATTATGAGATTGAGAACAGGAAATAGCACAGCCAGACTGCGGAGTCTCTTTCCTTGGAGTTTTTCAAGAGCTGCCCAGGTGTGGACCTGAGCAACGTGCTCTGAGTGTTCCTGCTTCTGTAGGGGTTGGGCCAGATGGACCCAGAGTTCCCAACCAGTCTCAGTCACTTTGTGATTTGTGGTTATATTCCAAAATTTATCTTTAATAATATTTCAATATGTCTTCTTACACCTATTTGTTAAGGTTTGTTACACCTATAGCAGCACTGAGGCAGCAAATAATCAATTTTCAGCAAGAAGTGGAAGTTGCAATCTACGAAAATGTTGCTTTTTGTTTTCTGTGCATAGTTCTTCTCTGAGCTACTGAACGAGTACAATGTGTGCAGCATGAATTCAGTAACAAAGTGAAAAATTTAGCTTTAGAGAACCTTTTCCAAATGCATTTATTTGCTAGACAACTAATTTATTCCGATATACCTTATTGATTTCCTTTTTCTTTTTTTCACATAATGACTATTCAGTGGCTTTTCTCAATAGACTAAAATATGTCAATCCTGTCTAGACTTTATACATCAACTACTTTTTATGGTTTTGTTTGTGTATAAGTATTTTTGCTTTTAAAATGTTGTGTTTTTTTTTTTTTTTAATATGTTCTTACAGTGCTAGACATAGGCTTTCAAGATAATGTAGACTGGTATAAACAGATTTTATTCTACATATTAATTCTAAACAGAATAAGAAATCAGCATAACTCATAATTTTAAAAATTGGTTCATGTTCATAATTGTGCGTATATATTGTGGCATGTATGCACAATAAGAGCAACATACACAGTTATGTGTGTGTTTATTTGTATTGATCTTTATATGTTCAGTATACTATTGTGATAGAATCATTTAGGGTGGAACAGACTTTCAGAATCACCTATTCTAACCATCAACATGGGTTCTTTCCAGCCACACACATGGCTGAGACATTTCTCTAGTGTCCTATAGTGACACATCTACAATCTCTTAAATCCCTCAGGGATGGGATCTGCACCTTATTCCTGGGTAGTCCATTCCAATGCTTGACTACCCTCTCCCTGAAGAAATTGTTCCTGTTGTCCAATCTAAACTACCCCCGGTGCAGCGTGAGATCGTTTCATTGTGTTCTATGGCTTGTCACCTGAGAAAAAAGAATACCGCCTATCTCACTGCAGCCTCCTTGCAGGAAGTTGTAGAGAGTGATGAGATCTACCCTCAGCCTCCTCCAGACTAAACAGCATCAATTCCCTCCATCGCTTCCCATGATTCTTGTTCTCTAGTTCCATTATTAAAGGGTATGAGACATCAAGGACTTAGAAATACTTCAGCTCTTAATATTGTACTGGAACTTCTGATGACCGATAAAGTGAAAGCTTGTGAAATCTGCTCCATGTACTTTCATGTTAATTGCATATCCCCATATTGACGGGGATCCAGTTCCTCATTATAGAGATTTACCTTTAGGACACCATTGATTATCTTCTGGTTTTTACTCTTATCTATTTTCTATGCAAATCTAAATGGAAAAACTCACTTCTTCAACAAAGCAAATGAACACATAGACAAAAGGAGTCTTTAGAGAGAAGCTGTTAAGTTTGGAATAGATAGAATAGGTAGATAGGAATAGAGCAGACAGAGAGGTGGACAGAAAACTTGCTGAATGGGTTAACCCAGCAGATGGTGCTCAGTGACACAAAGTTTAATTGGAAGCTAGTAATAGACAGGGGTGAATAATAGGTGCAATCCTATTAAACATCTTCTTCAGTGATCTGAATGATGGGGCACAGTGTACCTTCAGCATATTTGTTAACAACACAAAACTAGGAGTAATAGCTGATATGCCAGAGGGTTGTGCTGCCATCCAGAGGGACCTGGATAGTCTGGAGAAATGGGCTGACAGGAATCTTGTGCAGCGTAACAGGGAGGAGTGCTTAGTCCTGCCCCTGGAGAGTAACAATCCCAGGCAGCAGCATGTGCTGGAGGTTACCCAGCTGAATAGCATCTTGGCAGGATGAATCCTGCTGGGCAGAAACCAAGATGAACATGAACAAAGGATATCTAAAATGACTGAGAGACTGGAACATCTCATCTATGAGGAGAGGCTGAGAGAGCTAAGCCTGTACAGCCTGATGAAGAGAAAGGGTCAGGAGAATCTTATAAATGTGTATAAAAATCTGGAGGAAAGCTGTATAGAAAATTGAGAAAAGATTTTGTTGGTGCCTGATGCCCTTTGCAAGAACAAGCAATAAGAAGAGGCAACAAGCACAAGCTGTAACAGGAGGTTCTGAACCTAAAGAAATTCTTTTCTACTGCTGACTGAGAAGTGACACAGGTTGCTCAGAAATACTGTGGAGGCTCCCTCCTTAGAGGGAGCCATTTGAATGTGGGCCTGGGCAATCAGCTAAGTATCCCTGCTTGAGCAAGAGGATTGGACCAGATGGCTTCTAGAACTGTTTCCAAATCTCAGCTACTCTGTGATTCTGTGAAACAGCCCTTGTCGTTATTCCCAACTTCTCGCTTACTATGGCTGTGAGCAGTTCAGTACTTCCATATTCTAAATCACAGATGAGAGGCAGGAGGGAGGACAAATTCCCAGGCTGAGTAGCTATGTCATTGCATCCCAGGAACGAAGCAGTTAGAGTAGAACATACAGAACAGTAAAATATTTGGCAACAATTAAACCACACACAGAAAGGAAAATCTTGCTTTCATAAGCCTATGCAGACGATTCAGGCATTTGTCCTATGATTAACAATAAATTCTGAGGAAGAAGGGCTGTTATGATTTAATTCCCACCTCTTCACACATGCTAGTGAAGAGACTACTTCAGTGATAGTTTTTCCTTTATTAAAATCATGTTTTCTGTTCTCTTGGTCACCATGTAGCAAGAGCATTTTCTATCATACTGCTTTACCTGTAACCAGTGTACGAACTGAGATGTTTTCAGTGGAAGTGAAGAAAACCAGAAGATAAGAAAGAGAATCATAGAATCCTTAGAGTTGGAAAAGATCTCTAAGGGCCATCTAGTCCAACTTCCCTGCAGTGAATAGCTAGATGAGGTTGTCAGGGCTTGATCCAGCCTCACCTTGAAAGTCTCCAGAGATGAGGCATCCACATCTCTTGGCAGTCTGTTCCACTCTCACTGTAAAAGACTTTTTCCTTATATCTAACCTGAATCTAACCTCTTTAAGCTTGAAACCATTTCCCCTTGTTCAGTCACCACAGACCCTGCTAAAGAGTCTGTCCCCTTCTTTTCTGTAGCTCCCCTTTAGATCTGCAAAAGCTTCTATGATGTCATCATGGAGCCTTCCCTTCTCCAGGCTGAACAGCCCCAGCTCTCTCAGCTGTCCTTATAGGAGGGGTGTTCCATCCCTTGGATCATTTCCGTGGCCCTCCTCTGGATGCATTCCAACAGGTTCCATGTCTCTCCTGTACCAAGGACTCCACATCTGGATGCAGTGCTTCAAAATAAATATATCTTCAATATGATGGTTACCATGATAAAGTCACGTAGAAAATTTTAGTTCTAACTATTTGTTTATATTTCTTTTTGCATATGAGCATGTATTCTTTTTGAGCAGACTCTTTGTTCCTTTTTTTTTTTTTTTTTTTTCTCCTCTGCTTACATTGGTTTAGTTGTGTTTGTGGAAACCTCCTGTTTGGCCTCTTATTATATTCATTATTCTAAACACAGGTGTACAGAAAACAACGCAGATCCAGAGGTCTCTAAGTAAATCTTTGAAACGTTTGCAGTAAAAATGAACGTTATCCTTTGGTGATGTACAAGTTTGCTTATTTTGATACAAAATAGTAGGAGACAGCAATATTTTATATAACTGGAATGACAGTTTTTAGCAGTGCCTCAAATGAAGTTGCAGTAATTTAGAACAATGCATTCGGGCTTTAAGTCTGACCTATACCTTCAGTCTTGATTTGTAAGTTAGGTTGGAATTCAGGACTGAGCTTGAGTCCAACCTGCTGATGCTTGTAAATCAACGTCCACTTTGTGAAAGCACAGGGCTGCCTGGGCAGGGAGCTGAAGCTGAGGCTGCTGTGAGAGAAGCAGTCCACACAGTCCACAGTCAGGCTGTGCCCCAGAGAATGTAGGAGTCTCCCCCTTCAGACCATTGGCTTTGGAAACTTGAGTACATACTCAAATGTACATACTTTTAAAAAGGCAGCATATCTTCTAGCACTCATATTCCCCCTCTTCAAATAACAAATTTTGCAGCTTAGAAACTATGTTGTTTATTTCTTCACTTTTTTGTTATATCCTAATTGTTGAGACCTAGTAAAGGATTGTTTTTGGTATAGAAAAGAACCTATTTTTTATTAAAGATTTTGAGTTGTTTGTGGATTTTTTGTTTGTTGTTGTTTTTCAGGCTGTTTTCCCCATTCCCTAGCATGCTTTGCTGCCAAATAGATAGTGATAAACACTATGTTTTGGACTGTGAAGAGCAAAATCAATAGCAGATTAGTCAGACTTTCTTACACTGAAGTCTTTAAGCAGCCAAATAGTCCTGCTGGTCTTTAAAATGAACAAAGTTTTCCTAGAAAGAGCATCATTGGTCAGAGAGTGTTTGTGAAACGTAGAAGGTGACTCTTGGTATCCTACTTTGGTGAATTCTTGTTTGCATTTGGAAAAAAAAGTAAATCTGGCATCTGGAATTTGCAGATCCTTACAGTTGTAGCAACTGGTGTCTTTCTGTAGCACAAATTCAAGGCAGCAGAGATCACACTGTGACCAAGATCCATTTCTGCAGTATTTCTCTTATTCTGCATAGGATCAAAAAGAAGAAGAAAAAAAAACCCAATCACCAAACTGTTCCTAGGCCCAATCCTATAACCAATGAAGTCAGCAAGAATAGAATAAAATGTTTTTGAGGCTGAGTGATGGACATTAAAGAAGTATTCTCTGAAGGCTCAGACTTCCTGCATTGTTGCGGATGCCCCCTCCCTGGAATATTCAAGGCCAGCCTGGATAGGGCTTTGAGCAAGCTGGACTGAAGGGAGGTGTCTGTGCCTATAGCAGGGGGGTTGGAACTGGATGATTTTAGAGGTCCCTTCCAACTCAAGCCATTTGATGATTCATTCTATGATTCACTGTGTTTATTACTTGCTTTGAGTTTGTGATAAAGAAGTAATATGATAATTGTACCGGTTTCTCCTTGTATCTATAACTCAAGCACTGAACCCAGCCAGAACAAGTCTACATGGATGGTGATTTCAGCCAGAGATTTAAATATAATTTCTTCATGACCAGTGTTGAAGATAAGAAACTCTTTCAGGTGTGTAGGTAACTGCAGTCTAATCCTTTAAACCACAAATTGTAACAAAATGTTCTGTGAAAGGATATGAAAAAGACTACATCACCAAACCTTTCAGCACGTGAAGTTTTGCCAACAGATCCATGCAGGTTGCTTTTTCCTGTAAGACTATGAATGTAAGTTCAGAAAAGGGCCTTTAAAACCAGCACCTAGGTAGGACTTACAAGCATAAATAGTGGTATCTCACCGTGTCCAATTGATGATAGCTTTTAGGAAGAATTTTTTGGTGTACAGTGCTGCCTTTGGGTAGTGCACAAGACTTGTGCAAACTGCTTAACACACAGAAATATTATTATTAGTAGTAGGGGGCCTGGATTCAAGGTATTACTTAGCTTATGTGAGCTCAAATCCATCCTTGCCACTTCCAGAATTCACAGACTGACTTTCAGATACAGCACTTTATCTAAATAGTAGCTTAGGAAGAAATAAGATTGCATGATTATAGGAGTCCTTCCCAAAAAAAGGTTCACTTCAAAGAGTGAGATTTTGGTTTCTAAGACTTGAAGAAATTCCTGAAAAGTTTATGCCAAGCATTGTGGCACCCAGCTTCAGAGTCACTGATATTTGCATCAGAAATAACTTTGACCTATTGTTTCTGCAGGAAGAACACTGAAATCTTTCTGCTGAAAAATATAGCTTTCACCAGGACATGAAAGTAATGTGTATGCCACAAAAATGTGTTGCTAACGTGTCTTCCAGGTATCTGGTTTTTAAATGCCATTTGTTTTGAGATTGTTCATTATAATCACCATGGAGAAAGCAATGATAACTCAGCCTAAGATATACTTATGTGAGACTAACAGCTTTCTTTTTCCTTAGATCAGAGTATTTAATGAATAGTGGGGTATGGGATGAAAGTTCTTGATTATGACTAACAACTAAAAAAACACAGATGCAAAGATTTTGGACTCTTTATCTGCCAATGACAGTCAGTGCTGGCTGGAGCCCTGAAGTTTCTTTCAAGTTTCCTTATTCGCCCCAACTGACATATGTTCTGTCCATAAATAAACCTTTTCCTTTCTGATATCTTTGCTTTCAAAATCCAAAGCTGCAAGTGGCCCCTGAGAATAACCTTTGTTTTTTCACAAGGTCCCAAAGAATCCCTCTGCAGAAAAGCTGGCATGGAAAGTTTTAGCAGCTGTAAGTACTGACTGTACCCTAAAACCCACCTTGCATTACCAAACTCTTTTACCAGAGCTTTCAGTTTTAGAAGCTGAATTCTGAGGGAAGAAAATACAGAGCTCCTTGTTTCCTTGGAATCCTAGTTTGACTCTGGCAGTTTCTACAGAAAGGAGCTAAAACTTCCTATGTCATTCTAAATTCACATGTTTCTGTGTGATAGAATGTTAACTTTCAGCACATCACAAGCAAGTGAAGTCTGTGGTGCTTCAGAAAGTATAGATGAAGAAAAATTCTCCTAAGGCTAATAAAACAAGAAAAAAAATCAATATTATGATTTGTTAGCAATAACGTTGACTAATACGTTACTGACACATACCACTAGGGCTTTTTATCCTATGGATGCCATCTGTAATGGCAGCCTCAGGCTTCTCAGAATGCAGAATACACTAACAACCTAGCAAGGGAGTGTTAAGAAAGAGAAATAAGAAATGTTCTGGACAATGAAAGAAAATATGCATCTTCTCTTTTCTGCTGTCTTAGGATTAGGGTTAAAGAAACTAAGGTTAAAGGAGCTAGTGTTAAGTGCAGACCTTTGGCCTCTGCCACGGTCAGAGCTAGGCTCCCTGCAGTGAGAAAAGAGGGCTGAGAAATGCGAGTCAATGGAAGAGGAAGAGGTCAGTTTGGTTTTCAAACCAAAAGTAGGAGGGAGGATGGATTCATTTGGCTAAGCTGCCAAAGAAGTAGGGTTTTTTTTTTGGTTAGCAGAGGATGGAAAATTAGGCAGGAAAAGCACTGAAACAACACTGGAGCTGCATTTTTAAGAAAGAGAATGCTATGTAGGAAAAGCAACATTTATAAATTCAACCAGAAAGCTTGTCTAGTTACAAGAATAGTTGAGAGACAGACAAATAACAGGATATGGCTGGTAGAATAAATAGGCAAGGAGTCTAAAGGCGTTTCCATGAGTCACTGTTGGGCTACCATAACCAAAAGGGCACAGTGAAATGATTCAAAGGGATGCAAAGAAAATGGAAGCAGAAGAAATAATAATGAGGATAAAAGCTGAAGGGCTGAAGAGAGAGAGAAATGGATGAGATGGAATGATGTCATGGAGAGATACCTTTCTTGGCCAGACAAGTGGAAAATTGAGGTACATAGATTATAGTTCTGTTTATGGTCTTCTGCCAGCAACTCCTTGTTTACAGCACCGAGGGTTGAGATGACAGCTGTACTTTAAAACGACAGGAAACCTTGTTTCACAGTGAGTCTGATTGGTCTGGCAATGGACCACATCTGGTAGTAATGGAGGTCTGAAGAGCCTTTTAAATCTTGTACACGTATAAAAAGAACAAAAGTGGGAAAGGAAGAATATATCATCTTTCTTTTTCAGATTTATGATGCTGGAGAAGAAGGATTCTTTTTTCCAAGAATCATTGCTAGATGCTGATGGAAGCAAACAAAATCAAGCAGGCCACTTGGAAATCAAAGCACATTTTAAAATGAAGGATTTGTTTTTATCCTTACCAGGAGCAAAAGCTGGAATGAACCTGGGCCCGCTGTTACCATGTAAGTGTTTGAAATGAAATAAACAGTTTTCTGACTGAACGGCTATCCCCATGGCAATAGCAGAGGATCTTGTGCGTTGAGCAGTGAAAGGAATGAATAGATGAGAAGGAAGCACAGTAGATCCTGACACAGCCCAGGGTACAGCATGTATGCTTAGAATTGTGCTGTGAAGAATACATGCAGAAGGAACAGTCTCTGTATTTCCAGGGTTTATCAATAATATGAGATAGGACCACTCTGCAAGTCAGGCAAGGACAAGAAGAACTTCTGCTAATTTTAGAAGCACTGGGATTATTGTGTCTGGAGCATTAAAAGTGCATTATTTAAGGAGTGTCTAAAACTTTTATTAACTCCTCTTCAGTTACATTTATTTTCTATCCCATGGCTCAAACACAGCCTGGACAGTTACCAGGATAAACTTTAAAGCCAACGGGAGCTGTGCCTACTTATTCCAAGGCTGGAAGAAGCTCTCTAGCTCCAGCTTTTAACTGAGTAACCCTTGCAAAGCTGTAGCAGAGCTTTGTATGAATTAATGATATATTTTTTTCCAGTTATGTTGTAAAACGGGGAGAAAAAGAAAGAAAAATGTCATTGGCACCAACCAAATTCTAAGTTTTAATTTTGGCTTGAACCAAAAAAGATGTTCCGACACAGAATGTTCCCTTTTGGTGAAAATAAAAACATGAAGGTATTTGGAAGAAAAGCCAAAGAAATAAAGCACTAGCTTCATAAAATATGATGTGGCAATTTCACGTCCTTCTCCATACGTTCAGAGATCAGATTTCTCACACAAGCTATGACATGCTGAATTTCTTCCCTCTCCCATGTGCCCCACATCTTCAAAGAGCTCCCAAATCTCTAGACTGGCAGGCCAGCCCCAGGTTGAGCTTCCTCTCTAACTCTTGTTGATATTATTATATTCCATTGGGGAAAAAGATGTGTATGTTCTTTAAATCACAGAGTGGAAGTGAGGACTACTTGTTTTCTTGCTTTTCAGCAGGAAGATAAGAAAGCAGGTTTCAGTTCCCACAGAGAGAAAATGGAACATCATTTGCATCTCTTGTACCCTGTGTATTCCTGAAAAATCTTGAAAAGCTCCAGTTCTTGAGCCCTTATGTGAGCAGGAAACATTCTTATTTTTTTCTTCTGTTCTGGTTTTGAATGTCTGGCTCACAAAGAAAACAAATGAACGAACATACTTAAAGCTGTTCAATACATCTGGATTGAATTTATTATTTAAGTTCAGGCTGATCAAAAGCCTAGTATTGTTGATAATTATTCATTGGAAGAAGAATTCACCAGGCTGACGTTGAAGGTTCCATAGCCTTTTATAGCCCAGTCTCCCCAGATGATCTCTACAAATCTGTCCAAGTTAATATTCATTGTGTAGCACTATACCCTTGATCTCTTCTTCCCCCCCAAAATATCTCAATTAAAATAAGGAGAGGTAATATAACGGATTTTCCAGGCAGAATGTAGAAATAAAATAATCAATTCTGATAGTGCTGTATGACAGCTTTGGACACCAGTGGAAAGAGCCAACCTCCAGCAATAGTTGGTGGGATCAAGTATGAGCATACATTTAAATTGCGATCTGAAATGAGAACTTAGAAATCAATGTTTCAGGTGGCCTTTGGCTTCCAATGACTTTTCACTGAAAGCAGCTTAGCTTCAAAGGAAAAAAACTAAATCACTATAGCCATTTCAAGCTTTTCATGATGAGGCATAAATAAGATGCATAGAGAAGAATGAGGTTACAAATTCAAACAGTCTGATGGGATGAAAAAGTAAATTCACAGAATCATAGGATAATTCATGTGGGAAGGAATTGCCTGTGCAACTTCCTGCTCAGAGCAAGGTCAGTAGGGAGCAGATCAGATATGGGGGTTTTCAGGTGGATGGAGGAAATGTGCAGTCTCTGGGACACCTACTCTACTGCTGGCCGGTTCTCACATTGTGTAAGTTTTTCTTTCCACCTAATTGGAACCCCTCCTGTTGCAACTTAGCTTTTTTTCCCTCTCCTGCCCAAATCTGTCTTCTTGGTGACCTCCTCACAGGCCCTGAAGGGCTGCTGGTAGGACCCCCTTAAAGCTTCTCTTAATTAACTTAAGAAAACTTAATTAAAGTTTCCTCTTCATCTTTATTTTAGTTTCCTTGTATTTATGCATATGGCACATGTTACGATAGAGTCTCTAATTACCTGAACAAATGCTGTGTCTTTCACAAGATTTCATCCTCATTTACTAAAAGGTTGGGCAGCATCTTTCTTAAAGGGTAACAACTCATTAAATTTTTATTCTGCTTTGTTCAGCATGTGGTCTTATTTCTTGTTTACAGCACACTGTTAAAATTAACCCCCTAAAGAGGTTTTTCTCATTTTCATTAATTCCCTCACAGGTTTCTAAATAGTATTGACTGCAAGACTTTTGTGGGAATTGGAATTTGCATTACTTGAAATTACATAGAATTGTTTTGTATTTTTAATTTCTGATTTAGAAAGCAAAAATGATGCAGCAAAACATTTTTAAATTACAAACTTACCATAACAGTGGAATAGCTCTGACTGAACAAAGCAATAATTGTTATGCAGCGTAATTTTTTTTCAGTTCTGTAATTTCACATACTGGGTGACCAGGAGGTGTTTTTTTTTTTTTTACGCTTATTTTGCAAGTCAAAAATTGAAGCACAGAAAAAGGAAGTTCTAGAGTTTCCACACATTTTGTAAGTCTAAATGTAAACATTTGAGAATGAAGATAAACAGAGAACTGAGAAAGCTTCAGAGTCCTGAATCTCTGTACTCTTCCAAATAATAGAGTGAACAAGTTTGAACCTTATGGAGATGATGAGGCTCTGGAAAGAGAAGGAAGGAGAACTGAGTCTTTGTAGTTTGTGAGGGTCTGCACAGGCAAAAACATCTAGAATTAATTAAATTTCCAGCTGTTTTAGAAGACTGAGTTCAATTCATACATTTGCTGTGAAGGAGAGCTGCCAAAAGTTGATGTTCTGCTTACAAGTCCAGCACAAAACCAAAAATAACTGAGGGTTTTCTGATTTAGCTAGCCTGCTCCCAGTATGCAGCAATGGACACAACAGTTTGTAAAGGAAAAGAAGGACCCAACATTTCTGGTTGGATCAGCATCTGCACCCTCTATAGGAGCACTGGGGCGTGGAAGGGTATGTTGCCCAGCTCTTCTGGAGCACATACTCCTGTACATCAGAGACCTCATCCCAGAGTGAGTTCCCAAGGGTGGATGCATTTCTGCTGCTGGGAGCTGCCCAGGGCAGAGGGACTCCATTCTTTCTTGCCCAAACAAGAAAGCTGAAGCAGTGAGTCAAGAGGCTGTTATCAGTAGGGATGGGAGAATGGCTGGAACTTCTCCAAAACCCTGCAGGAACCAAAGCACTTCAATCAGCCACTTTGATGAGAGGAAGGCAGAGGGTTTCTGGGATATAGAGACTGCCATGGTGGTTGAGACTGGATGCTTTACCAAGAGGGGATACCAGGAAGACAGCTTCTGCCCCAGCTGCCGACCTGCTGTCCCTGAGGAGAGTCAGTGCTTTGATAATGAGAGTGGGACTGAGCTATGTCCCCAAGCCAGGGATACCTGAGCCCCTCCCAATACAGGTAATTGAGAAGAAAATAGGGGGAGACCTTCTGATAAACCTGATATGTACAAACAAGGAAGAATTAGTCAGAAGTGTGAAGGTATGGGAGCAGCCTTGACTAGTGACCATGAGATGCTGAAATGCAGGATCTTGAGATGCAAGGCAAAGAGCAGCACCTCAACCCTGGACTTCAGGAGATCAGACTGTGGTCAGGGATCTTCTTTAAAGAAACCCGTGGGATACAGTCCCTCAGAGAAGGGTACAGGAATCAGTTCTCAAGGATTACCTCCTTCATGCTCAAGACCTTCTTGGGCTTACATCCTTCTGCATGTGTAAGCAATCAAGTAAAGGTTCCGGAAAGTCTGCATGGGTGAACAAATATCTCCCCACTGATGTGAAATATAAAATGGAAGTGGAAGCAGCAACAGGTCCCACTGGGGGATTATAGATAGAGACACTCCTTGAGTGTGCATGGATGTGCTTAGGAAAAGTTGGAATCCACTTGAAGTTGAACATGATGTGGGATGTGAAGGAAAACAAAAAGTCTACACTTAAAACAGCAGCAGAAGACTAGGGAAATTGTGGGACTGCTGCTGAATGAGGGAGGTGGCTTGGTGATAACAGCATGGAAATGTGTGATGTACTCTTTGCCTTCTTGTCCTCTGTTTTTAGTGATATGAACAGCCTTCAAGTATTCCAGTCTGCTGAGACCAGTGGGAAAGACTGGAGCAAGAGGAACTTATCCATGGTGGAGCATGACTACAGGAGAAAGACTTTCAATAAACCAGGCATGCATAATTCCATGGGACCTGACAGTTTGCCCCCATGAATGCTGCAGGAACTGATGCCACTGCAAGGTCACTCTCAGTAATCTTTGAAATGTCACTGGGGGAAATTCTTAATGACTGGAAGAATGCAAATGCCATTTCTATTTCAGAGAAGGTCAAGAAGGAGGATTTCAGAAACTACAGGTATGTCACCTCAATGTCTGGAAAGACCCTGGAGCAACTAGTCCTGGAAATCATACCCAAACATTGAGGTCAAGTGGGTGGCTGGGAGTAATCAGCATGAATTTATGAAGTGAGTGTAGCTCTGGCTGACCTGACTGCCTGCTGTGTCTACATGATTGGTTTGGTGGGTGAGCAGAGAGCATTGTTTATCTTGACCTTAGCAAGGCTTTTGACACTGACTCTCATAGCACAGACAAACTGATGAAATAGAGATTAGATAAGTGGGCAGTGAGGTAAATTAAAAAAAATGACTGAATTGATGTGAGATGATCAATGACAATATGGGAGGAACTCATTTTCCAGCTTTCTCTCCTTATTCTCCTTTAAAATATTCTCAGAAACCTTCTGCCCCAAGTCTTCTTTCTACTTTCTTTTGGGTTTTTACCACTACTTGGAATCTGTGTGGGTTTACGCTGTGGCCAAAATGAGGTATATGCAATCTATAGCCCTGTCTATGTTTCCAGAAATGCGTGGCAAGAAAAACAGTATCATGAGGTCAAGGTTCTCTTGCCATAGTGCCATAGCTTTGCTGTCCCAGCTTCCTCCTACCTGGCAGTCAGCAGCATTTTCACCTGTTCAAACCATTTGTGTTTAATGGTTCTCAGGTATTTTCATCCATAGATTTATCTAGGAAC